ATATCCATTTATTGCTTACCCCTTATTCTTTCACTGTGATAGGTCAAAGTTGACCAAAAAATTAGTTTCATTTCAAAATTCATTTTTTTTTCCAGTTATTTCCAATGATCGCAAGCTTTTGGTATTACTGTCGTGTGCGGATATTATTTAGCTATACAAAATAGTTTTTTTTGCTGTGGATAAGTCATGTTTTTATGACGTAACATTGAAAATACTAAACCGAGTTGCCGATTTTCGTAAAAAAGAATATTTTCGATCGAAAACGAAAACACTTTTACCTGAAATTTTTTCCTGTTATGAGCTAGTCATGACCTCAGCTATCACCACCTCAAGGTTTATCGTCAAGAACCGGGACACCCTGTATATAAAAATTATTTTTTTGGCACATTCAAGATGGTTAGATTTCTATGTCGAATTGATGGTACTTTTATTTTGAAAAGTATGCTTCCATGAACTTGAGATATTATTATAGAAAAACTACAATGACTGTTTTTTGATGTTTCCAATAATGTTGAACAAGGGAGAAACAAATGATATACAAAAACAGGTGTGAAGGAACTAAAAAGGTTTCATGTAAAATACTGTACCTGTTTCTGATACCAGCTCAACCAAAGGGCAGCATGTAGAAAAAAATATTATGAAAAATAAAGTACCATACTTTTTTCCTCTTACTTCTTGTAGAGTAGAAACTAACACCAGCTCACCAATATTCCAAAAATAAAAAAATACCAAGTTCAAAATACATACCATTCTCCTGATCATCATCTTTTTCCTCTGCTTCAGCTATTAGCTCATCTAAATTTTTCTTCTTGGTCTTTTTCTTCTTTTTACTTTTGCTGAAGTCCAACTCTACATCAAAGGTATCGTCTACTGCCCCATCCACTTCACCATTGCCATCTAAAACAATCTCTGTTCTGTTATCAGGAACTACTGCATCTAAGTCATCTGCCGTGAAGGGTTTCTTTTTCTTCTTTTTCTTTTTTGTGAAGTCAAGATCAACATCCAGATTTGTGTCATCTTGATCATCATCCGCTTTAGATTCTGCTTCAGGAAGATTGCTGACAGAGGGATCATTTTCAGAATTGCCTTCAGCTAGAGCAGCATCGATGTCAAACGAAGTTTTCTTCTTCTTCTTTTTCTTTTTCAAAGTAGGATCAAAAATCTGAAAAAAATTGCAAGTAAAAGACTAACGCTAATACTACTCCTTCCATATAGTATGTTTCTCTCTAAATGGTATTTATTGGCTTATCAACTGCAATAAACTACCTGGTTTATTCCTATTGTGTAATCCCTATCTAAGAGAGAAAATTACCAGCTTTCATATTAATTTGATGGGAAGGGGGGATTTCACAATGGGTTTATTGCAGTTGCTAAGCCAATACCATTTAGAATGAAACACATTATAACTCTAGGTTAAAGGAAACAGTGTCAATATAAAGCAGGAATCTGCTGAAAATGCATTATGCTGGAATAAAACGCCTCAATATAATTTTTAAGAATTAGTCATAATATTATTACCTCAGGTTGAAAAGCACAGTATTGATAAAAAGCTGAAATCTGTCAAAAATACATGAAGTTGGACGGAAATGAAACTCTACAACAAGCACTGTTCCCAAACACTAGAACTGTGAAAATATTCGTTATTTTTTTTTTCCGAAATATTTATTTATTATATATCAAATAATTTATTAAGGGTATCTTGCTTGAACTAGAATACATTTTCTATACTGAATAAAACGATAAAAATAAAAACAATAATAAAAATTAATTGGCGCTCCGGGGCGATTTCATTGATTCCAGTGGCGCATTTGCTTTTTCAGCTGCAGGAAAACCCGGAAAAACCTGCAGCACCACTTCATCTGAAGATCTTGATCTGCCAATGCCAGTATGATCAGAAATTGAATAATTCAAAACAGATATATTGTAAGATCCTTTATAATGTGTAAATATATTATTATTTATGCTCCAGGTTGATGCTATCGGAGTATAACCTGCGACTGTATACATTTTCTGATATAATATGTCTGTTCACATGAAAATAAGTCAGCTGCTTCATGCCAAAACACCGTATGTGAAAAAATAATAATTTGTACAAAATGCACTTCTAATAAAAGTATCTACTCTGTGATACATTTCGCAAATCTTTTACTTTCAATGTTACCATGAAGACCATCGGCACTTATGGTGTTTGACCCTTTGTAAGATATCGCAAAGTTACTTGCGATTTACTTTCTTGAATAACTGGATCTGTTCAAAATATGTTTTTCCGTTAATCAGCTGTCACCCCTATACGAACGACAACTGTCAGAAGTTGAGAAACTTGTGCGAGCTAAGGACTAACAAGGTCTTATCTTTTAACGTGTGATTCCTAACACGGAATGAATGAATCAATGATTTATATAGAATCAAATTTTTAGATCTGAACAATTATCTGAATCAATTCAACAGTTAAGGGCATGGTGGTAGGTTTATCAATGCGAACATCAACTTAAAATTGTACAGCAAAACACGTGTCACCGTTTTTGTAATATCTTTTATGATACAAAAATTTATGGTGAACTGTATTGATAAGTTTCAACTTTGAAAATTTCTTTCAACTATGCTGTCATTACTGTATTTCAATGTTTGCGGACAAGGCGGGATATGTCGTTATATATAGAGGAACAAGGCAGGATATGTCACTCAAATTCAAGTATCATTCTATTTCAAAGCACTGGTATGCGTTGAGAGTTTACTGTTCCAGAAGAAAATATTATGAACTGTCCCTGGGTTTCCGTTATCAAGAATATCAATTCGAATGGAATCTGAAATACGAGGTGGTTTCGCTCTTTGAGCACGGCCAAACAAGCAAGTGTCTGCGATCATGTTAAGACCGAAAAAAGCACTTGCTTTGTTTTGAAGCAGAAAAAAAAGTCTAGGTACTATGTTTAGAGTATGACATTTCTTCGGAACCAGCGGCGTAAATGATGAATGGGCCAGCTCTGAAAATTCATCCAAACGATATATGATCACGTGTGCATACATCTCACTTTTCATTTCCTTGTCAGTACTCTATTTTGACATACAGCAGCCGAAGTATAAGTAGTCTTTTCTTTGAAGTTTTTATGTGTTCCATTTTCTCCAAAGTTTTTTTTATGATCGATTACTTTTATATTTGACTTCTTTGAAACCATCATTTTGAATTCAGAGTATTCTATTACGGTCATTATCAAGGTGATAGTATAGATGTTTCAGTTTCCTTAGTTGTGACTGATCTGGTACCGTGACAGTTTGTTTATTCATTTCATCCATTCTGTTCACAATATTTAAAATATTTTCAGCCTGATTATTCACTCTCTTCCTATCATCACTGATATAGCAGTTTTTACTGTACAGGCGTCGGTCTGCAAGTGCGCCTGTTCCAAAATTGAAGGTCGACTCTTTCAGTTGTATTGCCAATTGCATATGCAGGAAATTTTCTGTGAAGATTCCTGCACTGACGCCTGTCGGATATAATCCAACGCCCTTCGTGGTATTAGCCAGGGGAGTAGTTGTTTTCTGATAGGCGTCAGTCCCTTCAACCTATTGTATAGGTATATTCGAGACTGGTTTGAATGTTTAAAGTTCATTTCTTTAGATTTAATCGGATAATTGCTGGGTGTAACGCAATCAGAAACGATCCTGGTGTTTTTGAAAGAGTTCGGGAGCTGATGAGGAGAATATTGGATTCTTGCATCCGAGCGTGGGTAGTCATTTTCAACAGTTCTTGTAGATTAAGAAACGTGACATGTAATTTTTGGTGATAAATTGTTATTGTCAAAATTCTTTTTCGCTTCATATCTTCGAAATGAAGCGCTCTACCAAAAATCATTCATTAAAGGACGAAATATCCTTAGAATACTTTAATGAAATGAATAAAAACACTTTTGTCTAATTACCACTAGTTAATTTTATTTATACGACCGACCGGTTTCGGGTTTAACCTCGTTATCAAGTATAAAACTGAAATGTGAAGTTTGAAAACTTGGTTATATTGGGAGTTTTCAGGTAAGATCGAAGGAGAGGTAGTTGAACGAACCAGGGTGCCAACTTTAAAATTCAACACTGAAGACTATAGGGGTTGTCAAACTCATAAATTCAAGAGTGGAAACCTACATAAAACGAGTTGCTCGTTTAAGGGTATATATTTCTGGTTTTTAAATGATTTGTTAATTTCCATGGACTCCAGCAAATTCATTTTTTCCCCGTTATTAAATGTGTGTAGGATTTTGAGGTTATCTTTACTTATCTTGTGTTTTGATTCTAGAAGATGTTCGTAAATGAATTTTAAAATTGGCACCCTGGTTCGATCAAATACCTGTCCTTCCATCTTACCTGAAAAGTCCCAATATAACCGAGTTTTCAAACTTCACATTTCAGTTTTATACTTGATAATGCCGAAACCGGTCATATAATTAAATTAACTAGTGGTAATTAGACAAAAGTGTTTTTATTCATTTCATTAAAATGATCATGAATAATAAAAATTGTAATTTATTGATCAAAATTACAATTTTGCTCAACTGGCTATCGACCGAAGTCTTTCCTTGGAGAAGTTGCGGAATTCCGATGATTAAATATGATGAACTGATACTTAGATGGGTTTGGCTGGAGCCTCCATTTATTGAACCAGTTATTCGTTATTGTTGCAAGATGTTCCAAATTGGTAATAACTTTGTCTAGCGTTTGATCGTGCGAAATTAGGGCGGTGTCATCTGCATTCTGGAGAATATATGCTTCATGCCTGAAGTGGTTGATATTCCCTTGTTGGTGATGATAAAAATCAGAGCTGTATAAGTTATATAACAATGGTGAGAGCGGTGAACCCTGTGGAACTCCCTGCTCTGGTATAAATTTGTCTGAAAAACTACTCAGTATTTTAACTGTCACTTTCCTGTCAATTAGCAGATTCTTAATTGTATCTAATAGATAGTCAGGACAACTCAGTTGATGCAGTTTGAATAAAAGACCCTTGTGCCAGATGCTATCGAATGCTTTGTTCATATCCAAAAAGATCGCTGCCGTTTTGTTGTTGTTCAGCTTGGTTGTTTCAATGTTGTTCTTAAGAATCGTGAGAGGATGTATAGTAGATTTTCCTTGTCTAAATCCAAACTGGTGGCTTGGAATTTTATCATCAAGCAGTTGGAGTGAAGGGTTTCGTAAAAGTTTTTAGAAATTAGAGGCAGGAGCGTAATCGGACAATAACTGTCTGTAAGGGAGTGATCCTTGTTTGGTTTTGGCATTGTAATTATTGTGCCCATTTTCTAATTGTCAGGTATACAATGCGTTTTAAGCAAAATTCATAGCTTTTTATTATATACTTGTGAATCTCATAATCCAGCTTCCTCAACATGTTTCTTGTAATATAGTCATGCCCTGGAGCTGAGTTTTTTCCCTGTCATAAGATTTCAAAATATTCTTCTTCATCTACATTGAATGTATTATTTTCTTGTAAGGGTATCTGCGAAAAGAAGTTTTCGTACCTATCGCTCACATTTTCATAATAATTGTGGTTAAAGTTCAAGTTGACACTTTCTTCGCAGCTTTTTTGAAGTTTTTATGCTTTTTCGGAAGGTAACTCATATTCAATATTGATATCTATAATATTTTTAGTATTTATTCCATTTTTTTTTAATTTGGATAATTTCCGTATCTCATGCCAATAGGATTTGCCTCTCTTTTCATGAATGGCTTCACATATTTGAATCCAATTGTGGGAGTTATCAAGAATTACCACAAAATAAACAAGTCGTCAATCACAAATATCCTTAGAATAGCCCAAGAAATAGAACCTTAAATTTTTGCCGCATGTTTAATAAACACCCCGTAGAATGTACTCATAACCTAATAAGCATTGAATCGTACTAACACTTTGCATACCCTGGATTTGCAACCTCTACACAAAAGAAAATTGGAAATAAAAGAGTGTATTAGAGAGATTAGAGGTAGGTATACTTATAAAGCATCACAGTGGAATATCATGGTTCTGAAGACGCTAACTTGATTGGTGAAACGTGAGTCTAGAAAAGTATTGCAACTATAGCGTTTGGGGAGTAGTGATTGTTTTGAATTTACTTTGTCAGAGGTTCCCGTTCTACTTTCAATTTGATTTGATTTTTTGATTTCAAATCAGACAGTATAAAAATATGTTACAAAATATTTGGGTGCTAAACCTCACAACAAAACATGTTTGAAGTTATAAACAGTTATTACTGAAGCCAATATCCAAGATGTATAGGGCAACATACACAAAAGTAAGTGCACTGATTGCAAGGAGACACCCTACATTTTGTTTTATAAAAGAGAGGACATTGGCAGATCAAGATCTTCGGATGATGTGGTGCTACAGGTTTTTCTAGCAGCTGAAAAAGCAAATGCGCCACTGGAATCAATAAAGTTGCCCCGAAGCGCCAATTAATTTTAGTTGTTTCATAATTTCCTGATTTGTATTACTTTTTTGCTAAATATTAATTAAATAAATATGTCACCTGCCTGAACTGAAATTGAGAATTTATTGTTGAGGCACCTTTCATGTTAACATTTTTATATTTATAACTTCAACAATTGTTAAGTTTAAAGTGTTAAATTGTCTGATCCATATCGGCTGTTATATCGGAAGAAATATATACCTATATTCATTTGGAAATTAAAGCATATTACTTTCACATAGCAAGAGAAGTCATGTACCGTTTTGAGGGATGACGTTAAATTACAAACTAGATAAATGTTTCGAGAAAAGTGGTACCAAATATCAAAATAACTTTCATTTAACGAGTGAATAGGAAAATAAACGCATTTTCTTGTAGCAGAACATAGAAATTATTTATTTGTATGTTACTTTCATGAGGTTGTAAAGAATGACACCCATTCCAATGTGTACTCACCGCTTCGTCTTCAGCCATTTCCTCACTTGAATATGGAAGAATAAGGTCGAATCTCAGAATCTCCTTTAGGGATTTAATAGAAAAATATTGGGAAAATTGATAAAAATTATTGCATCAGCCACAAATCTGTCAATTAAGAAGAAATAATCGGCATGGTAGGTATATTCAGTGTTGCCACGTTGCCAATGATGATTTACTATGCGTTCCACTGAGGGCTCACAACAACTACATAACGACCGCCGTCGTTGTGGTCGCGGCGAAAACGTCACTCATGATGTCATTACTTTCGCTCACAACGACCATTCTGAAGAGGTAGATCAAAGTGGACATTGAGAATATTTTGGCGCAATTTTTTGAATATGACATTTAAACATTAAGGAAAGCGACAAGAAAATCACCAAACAATTCATTGTTTAAAGAAAAGAGAATTGAAACTTTCTATATTTTTTACCACTTTTAATTGTAATTAACGTTACCGTAGTTTTGTCCCATAAGGACATTTTCAAACTTATACATAAATAAAATGTCATAGGACGAAACTGCAGTAAAGTTAGTTACAAATAAAAGTGGTAAAAACATAGAAAGTTTCAATTCTCTCTTGTTCATTATGATTTCGTACCACGTAGTAACGGCTACATCCATCAATTTAATTCATTGTTGAAGAATTCAGGATTATATTTTGCCAACGACTATATTGCGGAAGATTATAGAGACAGAAAATTTCTAAGCAACCAACTTAAATTAGCACGGATTCAAGATCCCCGAGCAAGGTTAAAAAAAATCTTCCATACTTTAACCATAACTCGTATTCCATCGACTCACTTAAGGCGAACCCATTGAAGGAAGCAACTTCACTAAATCCTCCTGCTGAGATATCGGTTTCTACCCCTAAGGACAATAAATTAGAGAAGAGATCGTCTGGGAGGTCGAAGAAATAAAAACTATTCGTGTTTGTTATTATTTGAATTTATTGATTGTATTGTATTTATTTTTGCTATCATTATAATTGATTGATATGTTTCCTTTTGAGTTCATTTTTGGTATGTTAGCTATCGATGTATATATATGCTTTTTTCCTCTCATAGGCCTTTTTGGCATGTAAGTAGGTCGAAAATATGAAAATAAATATATGCCATCTGAATATAAGATCATTGGTCGCTCATTATAATGATTTCGTAAATTTAATTTTGTCAAATGATTTTGATATCATCACTCTGAGTGAAACTTGGCTGAAATAATCGTCGTACTATAGATATTTGTTTACCTGGTTTCAATGTCGTGCGAAGGGATAGGAGTGGAGGGACTAGAGGAGGAGGGTTGGCTATTTATTTGAAAAACACTCTCAAATTTTCTAACTTTCCCAACAATGATAACATTGAGGATTTATGTGTGAGTGTGAGGTTGCAAAACATGAGTTTTGCAGTGCCGCCTAAATTGAACCTGACAAATTTTCTCAATGAATTTGAAAACAGTTTGATATCAGTTTTACCTCAGTTTGATGAAATCATCTGTATGGGCGATTTCAATGTGGATTTGGCAAATTTCAATAGTTTTTCTGTTCGGAAGTTGAATGAATTATTTATGAGTACTGGGTTGAAGCAGATAGTTAACTTTCCTACAAGAATATCTCAGAACACCTCTTTTTAGACCTGATAATTGTTTCAGATCAATGCCAAGTTACAAATTGTAGTTCTCTCCATGTTCCACACATATCTGACCATGATTTGGTTTATTTTACCCTCAACCTGATTGGTGAAAGTGAAAGCAACAAAATTATTAAGTACAGAGACTTTAAAAATATTGATGAAGATCAATTATATACTGATTTACAGTGCATTCCGTGGCACCATATTTATGGCTTGGATACCATTGACAAAAAAGTAACTTTTTTCAACGAGAACATGAACACCTTACTGGAATTACATGCGCCTTTCAAAACAGCTTTCATTAGGAAAAAACATAAACCGTGGATTACCGGCAATAATAAAATTATGATGAGAGAACGCGATAAAAAACTTAAAAAATTCAAACGAACTAAGAACATTCGCGATTTTGAAAAATACAAACACCTTAGAAATTTCACTGATAAATCAGTAGAGAGGGAGAAAAAAGCCTATTTAATTTTCACATAAGCAGGCATACTAATAATGCATGGGACACCTTTAAAAAACTCAACATATATTATAAGAAAAAGAAGAACGATATACAAGATCATCTTTCAGATGTGAATGACATAAATGATTTTGTCCTAAACTCAGTTCCCACTGCCGGTAAAGGCTCGGACTTTGAACAGTACTACAGTGGTCGACTTGTTGGTCCCGATGTAAATTGGAGTTTCAGCAGAATCGAGAATAACGACATTTTCTCAAGTACTTACTGGCAGTAAAAACAACGGCTGCAGGTGCTGACGGTCTCAACATAAAATTCATCATATTATGTTGTCATTCATAATTGAATATATCTCTCACCTCTTGAACTTCTGCATTGAATATTCAGTATATCCAACTCAGTGGAAATTGGCTAATGTGATCCCATTACCGAAATGTGAAGTGGTCAGTGAGCTCAAAGACCTGAGACCAATCAGCATTTTACCCGTTGTCTCAAAATTATTAGAGAGAAGTATAAAAAATCAACTTGTGGAATTCTTGAAAACATATAATATTTTGCCGGATACTCAGTCTGGATTCAGAAAAGGATATAGCTGCACGACAGCCCTTCTGAATGTGACAGATCGTATCTTCCAGGCAACTGACTCGGGAATGATTACTGTTCTAGTTATCTTAAACTATTCGAAAGCTTTCGATACCCCAAAATACCCCATTCTGCGCTGAAACATATTCTAAGATATATAAGATATATTGGACTCTCAGAAGAATCTGTTTTGTTTTTTGATAGCTATCTAAGTGGTCGAAAGCAACGAGTTGTACTCAATACTAGGGTTTCTCAAACAAGAGAACTGACATGTGGGTTCCACAGGGATCCATTTTGGGACTAATTCTCTATGTAATTTTCACAGCATTTTTCAAAAATGTTGTCTCGCATTGTTATCTACAAATGTATGCGGATGATACTCAGGTGATGTATTCCTTCCACCCATCAGACATAATGAATGGTTGTCAGAAAATCGACGAAGACCTTGATAGAATTTTCAAAATATCCAAAGATCATTCTCTCTCATTGAATCCAAACAAATCAAAGGTAATGCTGTTCGGGAGGCGAAATGACAGACTTCTTCACCAAAAAAATGTTTGTGTTACTATCAATAACATTCCTGTACAGTTTTGTGATGTGGTGAAGAATCTTGGGCTCTGGATAGATTACTCCTTACGATTCGGAAAGCATATATCGAAATGCATTCGTAAAAGTATCTGGAAACTGAAAATTTTGTTTGGATCTCGAGCCACTTTGAATTTGAATCTAAAAAAAAAGCTTTGCGAGTCTCTAGTTCTTTCTACTTTTACTTATTGCGATACAGTCTATAGCTCTTGCCTGACGGCAACATCTACGCAAAAAATCCAAAACTATTGTCTTCGTTTCATCTATGGTATTCGTAGGCGTCAACCCATCAGTCATAAGCTACGAGAAGCCGGGTGGCTAAATATGAAATCTCGCCGAAAACTTCACTGCTCCACCTTTTATCACAAAATAATCACTACCCAAACTCCCTCCTACCTTTATAGAAAGATTGTGTTCCGCACTGACGTTCACAATCTTAATATAACATCGAAAGGTACTATAACACCACCAATCCATAAATCATCATTGTTTGAGAGAAGTTTTTCCTATAATGTATCGATCACTTGCAATGCTATTCCAAATGATTTTAAGAATATGAAACTCTCCTCCTTTCGAAAAAATTTGTTTGAATTTATGAAATCCTCTAATATCTAGAAAGCGGTTATTTGAATCAGCACATATATCTATGGTTTCACTCAATTTTCATTAGTTATCTGCGATCTTTTGTTCTTTTCTTCTGTTTGTCCAAAGGTTGAGTGGAAGACCATCTTTGTGCACTCCAGGTGCTCAAGATGAACTCCGCCTTTTCAGTTTGCATAGGAAATGTTGTAGCGAATTTGATAGGTTTCATTTTATTTTGTAATCCTGTGTTCTACTGAATAAAGAATATTATTATTATTTATATGAATTGCTCTGTTGAAATCAGCAGTGACTTTCACTAGAAAATTTTCTGTCAATTTCTATCCGAAATCATTGATGTATGTCTGAGAGTGGAAGTGTACCCTCTTAGATATAAATAGTGACCCGTTTTAGAATTGGGAATCAGTGTACTCCATTTCCCGAAGACGCCATCTTGGTTGGTGGAACGTGTGTCGAAAAGAGTGTTGCAGTTCTGGTGTTTTGGGGGAAGTGGTAGTGTTTATATTATTCTACGCCAGTGGTTGGGATGGGTGGAGAGTACCCACCAAAAACCTGCCTTTAAAGTAAATAAAGGTGCCTGGTGATTGTCAAAACAATCTGTCATTTGACAAGTGAAATCCTGAAATAATCGATTTTTCGACTTCTGGATAGCTCTATTTCCAAAAATAGATTGGAGCACCATGTTTTGACTTTGGATTTGTGATCAGCGGACAATAATACGTAAACCAAATAAAAATTTCTCTGAAAAAAACCTTTGTATCCAAGTAATTACCCATCTAAAACTCTATTTGAAACGTTAGCGTGTTTCTATTGCTTGAAACAATCCATCAGAAATTTTCTGTTGAATTTAGGAACTCATTTTATGCTGTGATTTGGTCTTGCGACCACAGAGTATACAACTACCATGTGTACTCTGAGCTTGCGACCACAGAGTACATCTTGCGACAAAAATACTGACAGGCGACAGTTGTGATTGATATAAGTTTGAGTTTAGCTCTATAGACTGAAATCATAATACGTATTTTTGTTATTGTTTTCCGTTTGAAATTTTTCAGTTAGGGTGTGTATTTATTCTTATTATGACATTATTAACAAAAATTCAGTTTGTTGTGATTTGTAATGAATTTAATTCGTTAATACTTGTTGAAGTGCCACACCCATTTTAACTCCTTTAATTAATTTTCAGTCAGTTGAGAAACGCCCTTATGACCTGCAATGTCTTCAGTTCTCGATGAAAGAGAGGCTTATTTGAACAATCCTTACTTCAAGAAACACGAATACGGTGACTTCACACCATTTTACATTATAGTAACTGTTTGTTCAGTGGTTGGATTTTCAATATTCCTACTGAACATTATTTTGGGCTGTTGCTCCAGGTATTCAGGATATTGGAACGATAGGCACACAGGTAAACAATTTAACTTGAATATAGGTCTATAGATAAAAGACTAATACTAATTCAGAACAGTTGAGTATTTCAAAGTGTTACTTGCTACCTTTTATATCTCACCAGGCACTAAAAGTATCACCTACGTTTTTTAGATTGAAGTGCTGTGTACACTTCCTGAATTTAATTTTAATCCAATTACACAGGTTTCATACCCCTTTTTTGATCACTTCAGTAGCCAATATTTGAAAAGAAATTCACCAGCTTTGCATGAAAACCAGAAAAAGTACAATTTTGCCAAGGGATCCCATATCAGAACTATAATTTTAGTGAATAGAATATGATATCTTAGAAAATTGGTGATTAAATAAATTGTTATCAAAAGTTTGATAGGCACAAGGACCAATTTACTCAGAACTATATTTCTGTCAACGTCTTGAAAATTGATTTCATCATCACAGCTATACAATAATTTTCAAAATAGGTTTTCCATGTTGGTATTGTGAAATCAGATTTGTGGGTAGTACCTTGAGAGCAACCACTTTGGAAGGGCCTGATACAATACAACACATTTATTTCCAAAAAGACCTGCAAAGTACAAGTGTAGGATAATGTCAAAAAAAGGATGCTATATTTAATGGACTAGAACAGGGGAAATATTGATAATGAATTTATACAATTTGAAACCAATACACCAATCTTTCTGTAGTACCTAATATTAATAATTGTCGAGCATTTCATCAGTTCGGACTTCCATTGTATATTATGATATAAATTGATTTGACATCCCTGAAATAAACTATAAAAAAATTAAAAAGATAAGCTGAAAAATAACAATTCTATTAAGCAAAAAAAAAAAACTGAAATTACAATGAAATGAAATACAAGCAACAAAAAAAAATTGAACTATTAGCACGAGATGAAAATTTAAAATTATTAACAAGAAATGAAAATTAAAAATGAAAAGATCCCAAGCCAAGTTACTTCATAACGTTTCGATAGTTAGTATCCACAATCGTCTTCTGGTGATAACAAATCAATTTATGTCATATTAGACAATGGAAGTTTGATCTAATGAAATGCACCACGAAACATTGTCAACCACCTTCATACAAATAATTGTCAACTTTTCATATTTCATAATATTTGATACCAGGTAGTGTACGACCGAAACTGGTTTTTACGAGCGAAACCGAATTTTGGCTTTGGTCTTAGTTTTGGCCTAAACCCAAACTTCCTTATAAGGATTATGTTTTGAGGAAAAAATAAAGAAAAGGTTATTTTAATCAGGTAGTCTTTATTTTTTCATCTTTAAATCACAACGTTGTGCAGTCTTCGACATTTTTACTTATTGATAATCAACATAAAAAACCCTTATATAAGAAAAAATATTAATTGCACCTTAAAAATACTTAAAATAGGTGAGGTGTTTATTTGAGTAGATGTAGATCCTTCTCTCGAATATTATTGATGGGTTTTCAAAAATATTAAACATAAAATTACTTATTTGAGTTGTTACCTAATTTGCCTTGTATGAAATTTAACCAGCCGAACATGACCGATCACAGCGCGGGAACTCCCGAATGCAGTTTCGGTCGTAGTTTCGGCATGTTTGCCGCCGAAACCGAAACTAAACCGAAACCCTTTTTGTCAAAACTCAACCGAAACCGAACTATCGGTCGGACACTAATACCGGGCAAAGAAAATTGAATGTCACATGATTTGAATGATTCAGAAGGGTTCAAATTTTGATTCTTGGATCACCTCGAAGGAAGTTAGATATACCTCCACTCCTCTTTTCAAGCATATCAAAGCTATTGAGATGAATAATACACAAAAGTCTTATACAGAGCTATTCAAATTCGTTTCTGTACATGGGGATCTCGTAAACGATGAGAGATAGAGTGTCGGTTAAATTGTGGCAAAGTTGTGCATTTTAGAGACCTATTCAATGATGTGAAGAAATCGAATATAGCTGTTTTGGTTCTGGAGATATACAGGAAAAACCAAAAAATCCCAAATTATTTTTTTGCCTACATCTTCTTTATTCGCAGACATATTGAAAATCTGTCCACATTTTGCTATTGGCACTTGATGTGGGCTCTCAGAATATATCCATGAATCTTTTATACAGGGTGTCATCTGACTTGGGCCACCCCATCTTTGAATTTTTGAATACGGACCTGTATTTTTTATTGTAGTTTTTGGATCTTAGACGTTCACTTCATACTGAGAAATTAAATTCAATTTTATATTTCGGGATGTTTCGGTAATGTTCGATTATGATTGTGTGAATTACTCCCTTTTAAATTACGGCCCTGGAAATTGGTTGACCGAGTTGAATAAAAACATAATAGCAACTTTCAGCTGATGCTCCCCATCGACAACAACTCTCAGAAGTAGAAACTTGTGCGAGCTAAGGATTTCCAAAGTCTTATTTTTTTACGTGCGAATTCCTAGCATGTGAAGTGAAAGTGGAGTTTCATTTTATACTATGAACCTCTGAATTTCGTATCAACATAAGGTCAAATTATATTTTTCCTGCTGATCTTTGCTACTACTGGTTTCAACTGAAAACACTTTTTAAATGAGACTTATCAGTTCTTTAGGGTAGGAATGAACTTTGTCTTTGCATTCTCTGCTATTAATAACTCGGTCATTAATATAGTCAATAATAACAGTCGATAATATTAATGAATACACAAAACAAACACTTATATTAGGTAACATTTTATATTTTCATATGCTGATTGAGAATATTACTGTTAAAATGGTCTTTTGTGAATGTTTTTTTTCTAAAAATTCTTCATGATCATTCTTTATGGTACATCACCTTATTTATTGTATCGAATTTTTTTTGCTAAATATTCAGAGCTAACCTGCATTGTTCAAATATTATTCTGACCAAGTGAATAAATGATTATTATTACAAAGCAATGGACTCAAGTCTTATGGAAAATTTAATTGAAGTAATATACTACTTACCTTATGTGTGCGACTCTTTTATCTATTCTAATAATGAGGTTTTGTGCACTTATTTTGAAACCACTGGGACGCGATTTTTGTACTAATAAAATCCTAAGACCCATGAGGTCTTTTCTATGCATTGGAATATTTATTATATTAATATTGGGTTATATTAATATCAGTTCTAACAATTTGGGTAGAGGTGCAAAATTTTCAAACAGAATAATAGAAGACATGTTGATCTAATTTTTATCAACTGGAATACCATTGAATCAATCAAACTTTAAAATAAAATATTTCTGAAAAACTTTTTTTAATTTCAGGTAACCGCTGGATAGCTTCGCTTTGGTCTGCAACACCTCGTAATCAACCTCCTTTAGATTACACTGAATTGCAAGATATTTCAGTATCTCAGCAACACGTGGTGTATCACCATCCACCTGCTACTCCTCCTCCTCAAGAGTTTTTAGAACTTAAGAAAAGAGAAAGTGACATTTAAATAACTTCAAAATGTTTCATATATTTTGGCCAGCTGTGGCATGTCTTACCCTATTTCTCATTGTGGGTGTCATCATGGTCTTATTGAGGTGGGGTCCTAGAATTTGCCGCACCAGACACACTACTTTACCAGAAAGAGTGGACTGGCAGCACAAAATGTATGAGCACCCTATTCAGTATTCTTGAAGAATTGGGTAATAATTTTATACATGTCACGCCAATAAAAGTGGGGGAAGGATTACTAAATCAGTAATTAGTATATTCTTGTCATCTTATATTTTAATGAGTGTAGTATTAACTTTATTTTCATTAACTAAAATCATATTTACTAGACAGCACTATACTATATATTTTCAAGAAAAATGTGGGTGGAATTAAGATTATTGTAAAATGTTTTTACTAATATATTCCAGAAGATTGTCCAAAGTTAAGATTCCAGAGCGCACATTCGGCACGATTGAATGCAGGTTAGCTATGGGGATGAGGAGAGCATCTCCTGGCTGGTGGATATAGTTAGTATCCAGCAGCTATGGAAGGGCGCTCTTTCTAAAATATATCATATCTGTGATGTCTGATGATAATTGCAGACTTACTGTTGATGAGGTTCTCACTAGATTGAAGGAAATGAACTGTGGTCTTTCAACCTTGAAGTGCACAATTCTTCACAAGGAATTTTCAGGCCTTGGTAGCAAGCACACGCGACACACAATAAACCCTTACAGTGGAGGGATAAATAGACCACCCACTTTGGACCTACCCTACCTACTAATATGATAGAATTGGAACTTCTGGCGTAGAATGTATCCAACAAAATACTTTTTCCATGCAGTAAAACTAATACTTTTCTTATAGTTCTGTGATACTTTTCTCTGAAAAATGTGTTACAGTTCTGTGACAATATTCTCAGAAGAATATAGTAACTATCTTATAGATACTTACTATATGGCATTATTCAGTAGCAATATAAGAACTGAATCGTGAATGAAACGGACATTTTTCTGTTTATTCTTTGACATTTAATTCTGCCCATAATTTCAATGTCCTCATATTCAGAGCATTGTCTGAAAAATATCAGTTTTAAATTACATTAATGTGTGCTATATAAAGTTCACTCATAAGTTATACTTCGATTTCAATCTTATTCGAATATTGACTTATTATTTGGTAGTTTTTGATTTTGACATCCTATTAGGGTTTTTTTCTTCAATATTAAATAGTAGGTTTCGAGATTACTACAACATAGCAAGTGTTAATTCAAAAATACATTATTCCAAAAAGCTGTTTGTTCTCCAATATAAACAGAAATTATAACAAATGATATCTGAAAATTTAACTGTGCTGTATGTTTATGTGCCTTCTTCAGTGAATCTCTTTCCGTCCATTTTTATACTTTTTATACTTTGTTACTTTACATAAGAAATAAAGACTATATGAAAGAAGTTTGAAAATGAAGTTTTTTTTTCTCAAAAGATCATCAGAAATATTTTGAAATCTGGTAAGGTTATGACGACTCAAAAATGTTTCGTAGTAATTGGAAAGCATTCTGAAAAATACTCAAAGAATTGAATTATGCGGGCACATCTAAACTATATCTATTCAACAAACGAACTAACCCAAAAAATATAGATGCGTGATCAAGGCATTATCACCACGCACATTTGTATCTTAAAATAAACAAGCTTCTTTACTGGCCAATCAGATTTAACTGCAATTGGCTGGTGGAATTCATTGTTACAGTGCCGGAGTGGTCAGTTTTCAAGTTTAAAATTTTCAAAATATCAAGTACTGATGCGGCTGAAAAAACTGCTAATTTGTCTTTACACTCCATCTAAAAAAAATTCCTATACCCAACCGCATATTATTAAAAAAATCGTCGTTCCTTAGTGCGACCATACTATGGTGCGACTTTGTACAAGCAGCCTTGTCTGGGAGATCACGTTCACTATGCATGATAATGTTTTGGAGCACTCTGCTACTTAGATGGACAGAGTATAGTTACAAGTCTAGTCATAAGTTGTTAGTTTATTACCATAATATTGGCGGTATGCCTACTAAAATTTCAAATCTCGACTGGGTGGGAAGGGTGTCAGTGCTCCAAACTCTCCTGCCCTAATTGTTACTAATTGCTGAAATTATTTCAGTTTACATCAATTAAATGTTTCTGATAGTATTGGTTCGTTTCTTGACTTAATTTTTTCCTGTAATGCCCTATCAAATCTCGAATCATCTCACCTAATTCTATAGGGAAGTTCATCTTGCAGATATGAAGTCTACCTTCCGTCTGTTTTCGATCTACTGTCAATCATATTGCTATGTCATCTCTATAGATTTTATCAAATATGGTGAATTATTTTTTTATTTTGAAAACGGAAAATTCCAATCTAGACTTCAATTTGGCTCTCTATCTCTTTCCACTGGATATATTCATACTTTGGACACAGAGGGCTGTCATCAAGAATTGATAACCTTAGATAAAGATGACGACCCTAAACATATTAACTACACTACATTACAGTAATCCTCTAACACAATTTTCTTATTAAACTCGAGGAAGTGAATAAGATCAAGTGGCTTTCGTTTTTAACTTCAAATTTATTCAATGTGTACTAATAAAGTAGTAAGCCAAAAAAGGTATTATTTGAAGGAGAGTCTGCTTCAGGATAATTTGTGCAGACTTTCTCTTTGAAAATTTGTAATCAAAGGTTCAATTCTATTGTACTTCCTCTCTAACAAATAGTAAATTAGGTCTATCATTATGAGTCAGGATCAATTATCTCAAAACAATGTCTACTTACCGTTTTGCTGTCTGTTCAAAAAAAATATTGATGAGCGTGAAACAATCTTCAAGCAAACAGATTAATTTTAATTTGATGTATTACATAGAATATGCCCAAAATATCGACTTTTTCATAATTCAGTTATCTGCTGAGATTAATTAGTTTTTATTCATCCTAGATGTCACTATTAAAAAAAAAACATTACCATATAATGAGAGCTATTAAGTTAAAACACTCACTAGAAGTTTTTGCTCCTCAGTATATAGAGTACACATATCTCGTGCAAGAATACAAGTTGGATTAACAAAAAATTGGGCTTTTAAAGAAAATCCTCCATGTTGAAGTTCAGAAATATATCAACTAATCATTTATTTTGTTTTTGATCAGATAAACTTAATAAAAGTACAAAGTTACTAAAGAAAGCTAACATTGACTAATTTTACATAAATTTAAAAATAAAGTTTTCACTATGGTTAAATTGTAGCTTGAAATATAAAAATACTATAAGAAGATACATTCGAAATGAAATATTTTTGCTTCAAACATAAAAATTCAATGTGAACATTTTTTGACATACTGAATATGATTGCACACATTGCTCAATAAATGCAGGTTTTCTGAATGATTATTAAATATTATACAAACTTAGAAGCTAATTTTTTTTTCCGTCTCAAATGCCTACTACCAATTTGTAGTTTTGTGAATGAAGTTGACAACACATTCTGTTAGAAACTACTCCACTTTTTATGGACCTCTGGTCTCAGATCGACAATACTAACGTGTACAGCCTGAAATTTTTCAAATCTTGGAGGAGTTGGACATAGCTGGAACTTCACTCTGTCTCCAGGAAGAGGAATATATTCATCTTCAACACTTAAAAATACATAAATATTATAGATGACGACTGCTCTGAATTTTAAAACAAATAAAAATGGTATTTAACTCCACAGTTAGTACATTCATTTTATTTTTGTCTAGTGCAGTACCGCTAACAGGTTCGATATTTTTTGGAAAATTAGGGATGAAGTAATTGACCTGTAAAGCTACCCTCTCTGGTGTGATTTCCTGAAAACTCTTATGTGTTGAGAATTTCGGGAAAGTATGTGACACAATTCTATCTTTCCTTATGGAAATTATATTCAAGAGTAGTCAAAATATTCGAAAAATATTGAAATTTACCTAACATTATGAGATTAAAAATTGAATTAATCCTCAAATATCAAAAAAGTTTTATCAATTTGAATTGAATATTTAATGAAAGTCAGAAGTTATAAATTTAGTCATCAAATTCATAGATCTCCATATAAATTAGTTTAGAGATTTCTAACAATAATTAGTTAATATTGAATTTACCCTGTTCAACAGAAACCACAGTATCACTTCAATATCAAAATTATAAATGAAATCCATATGTCCTTATAGGACATTTTCAAACATAGGAAGTTTTATTTTTCATTTAGATAATGAGCTATTTGTAATATTCAAGTTTCCAGGCAACATGCAGATAAACAATCTTCATTTTGTTTTGATTGGGTAGGTAACAAATAGTTATTTATGATATAAGAGTTAAAAGTAAGGTTTCATTTTGTGAGTAAAAAAGTTTGCAAAACAAGCGTAGCGAGTTAAGCAATTTCAAGAACAAAATAAAACTTACTTTCAACAGAAATATCATACATAGTTTTTTGTTCAACTGTCCTGTTTTCATAATAAAATAAATAAATTTAATATTTCCATAAAAACAAATTTTTGTACAACTGTCATTAAAAGTAACATTTTTAATGGTTGTCAAGTATTAAAAGATGATGTTTACAAAGTAACTTTCAACACTAGTGTTGAAAACATTTTTAACACGATTTTTTCGACCAAATAACAATAAACAAAGCATAATTATTCAATTTTCAAGGAAGTTTTATACTGAACAATAGATATAGATACAAATAAATTCTGTTACAAATGTATTATATACATTAATTACATCATTATTATTATTTATGAACATGAATATGAAAAGTACAATTAGAACAACTGCTGATATTAATACCTTGCGATGTTGAAGAGCCTTGTAATATATTTGAACTAGTTCAGTTGACAATTTCATGGGCATTAACATTTGATTCTTGAAGTAAAGAGGATGATGCTGTAACGCTGGAGCCTAGATGTTGGGATTATTCTTTCTGAAATAGCCTTTTTATAAGAAATATATTGATCGATGTAACCCTCAGCTACTGTTGTAGACTTCCATCCTCCGTGCTTCTTAATATCCGTTATATTGCTCCTGATTCTGCTAGCAAAGAAGCAGAAGACCTTCTGAAACAGTGACCTGTATATTCCTTTGGTTCCGGGAGTTTCAGAAACTCAGCAATGGTAGAGGGCATTTTCCCAAACGTGTTTATACCAACTGGGTTGGCACTGCATTTATAATTTGAGTATTTCAGAAAAAAAAACGTTGATGATTGATAACAGAAGGGCGTAATGCAATGTATTTATTAAAATAGTCAATGTATTTGGAATTTGAACAATCAATATTTATCCATTGATTTAATGTCTTCTATTAATAAATGGCACAGCTCTTCACGCCGGCAGGCTCCATATATTCCGAAAATAGTAACAACTTTTATCATCAAATATTTTTCATCTGACGCCTCATTTATAAACCTCTGGACTTGTTCAAACGTAAGAGTTTTTGATTTTTTAGGCCTATAACTTTAATTTTTCCGCTTTAAGAATGCTATAGCCTTAAAATATTTTCTTGTATTAACATTATTTTTAACGAGCGCACTCGACTTTATCATTAAAAACTTGCTCCACAAAGTTGACGAGTTCCATATTTTTTATTTCTCTTCTAGATAGGCTAAGAAGACGGTTTTGCTAAAATTTCTTTCGACGTTTTTAAGTCTACACCAGCTAAGGAAATTAGTATATGCGATGTCGTACTGATGAGCCGATTTTTTGGTAACAATTTAATTGAAGTTTTTTTTGCAGCCTCTTCAATATCCTCAGAAACACACAATTCCTCACTATTGTTCTTCATTATGCAAGACATTGAACACCAGCAATGAGTTTGAATGTGACTTTGAATAAAACGTGTGAGATGTAAACAATACTGTTTGTTGGTAACCAGGTGATTCGGCGTCACCTAACACAGCCACTTCACAGCAAATGCGATAACTTGAAAATAGTTAACTGACAAGATATGTCAAATATTAAATTTATTCATTTTGTTATGAAAACAGGACAGTTTTATAAAAAACTTTGTATGATATTTGTGTTAATAGTATGTTTTATTTTGTTCGTGAAATTGCTCAACTCGCTATGATCACTTCGCAAACTTTTTCACTCACAAAATAAAACCGTACTTTTAACACTCATATCATAAATAGCTATTTTACACCAACTAGTTTATTTAATACTTTAAGAAAGTTGTCACATGTTATTCAATTGTCACAATTTTCTCATAGTAAAAGTGTGTATGGATCATCCATAAACCGCAAGTCATAAGAAATCGTAAAATTATCAATTAATTTTTGTTGTAAATTTTTATTAGTAACAAATGATAAACATGAAGTCTTAAGACTTAAAACTTGCAACATATGACTCATTTTTCTTCAACCTCTGAATACGCCAACTTTGTTGGTGAAAAGCATGTCGACCAGAGTATTGCAGTTCTGGTGTTTGGGAAAAGTGCTTCTTTTGGATATGACTCAGACTGGTGTATGAATCTACTCTTATAGGCAAATATAATTGTGGAATGAATGAAAATAATATGATTCATCACAAGCAATAGCACTAAGTAACAATGCTTTCGAAAATTGTATTGAAATTATGAATATTCATCAGTTTTCATGAATTTACTCAGAAAATGTTTTGTATTTTATATTCATACCAATACAAAACATTCAAGAAAATGTATATTTTATATTCTGTAAATGAAACACATTATTGAGAATCTAAATTGAAAACATGCTTCACCTGGAGCTTGAACTCATAAAATTATTTCTTTTACTAATACACCATAAAGGCATCTTGTAAACTTTTATTTCTTTTGGAAGGAATAGTACAATTAGCTAGTCTTATGAGCTTTACTGAATACACATTCTGTTTATGGAAAACAATCCCAATAAAATCCTATAGTTATGATCCCAGATATTTGCATGGCTGACAACTGCAAAGAGCCACGATGCTCCCTAGGTGTTTCAGGGAGTTATTAGTAGTGAATGCAGTTGACACACATTATCAGTGAAAAACTGATATCATTGGTTCAATTTGCCTGTGATCAGAATTCTGTTAAATTGACTGATTTTTTATTTCAGACAAAACATTGAAAAAAAACTGTAGGTTCACTTTTTGCCAAATATAGTACCATGTTCCACTAAACATCTTGAAAACGATAAGTACTTCAATATTTGTATTTTCAAACCAAGTTTGTATACTCACTCAGAGACATGAACAAATAAATCATCACTTGAAGAATCTTCGGGGGTTATGAACCCATGCCCTTTCTCTCTACAAAAACTTTTTATGGTTCCAAATAAAGTTTTTGACTTGACAATTCGTTCGCACCTGTAATCGACGAAGATCTTTCATTAGCATTTGTCGCATTAAATACGTAACCACTTAATATTTGTAGCTTCAATAAGATACTCACATTGACGGTGTTCGGTTTCTTTTTGTAATAATAGGACTAGGAATCAAATATGATCCTTGCGATTTTTCATCTCCTCCTCCGGACATGTTTTCAAAAAAGGGAGAGTTATTCAAAATAATTTTTTTCAAATTTTAACCTAGTAAGAAGTTTTGAAGTAGTTCAACATCAAAATATAAAATGCAAACATTGTTGCCACTCATGTAAACAATATCAATGAGGTTAAGAGGGAAATTTGAATTGCGATCCGTCACTGGATCCAACTATCTATTTTCCCAAATTTTCAATTTTGAGTAAATTTTTCATGATTCTCATGGTTTCACTTGGGATCTCTGGCTATCTGCTAGATTTGGAATACTAGGAATCGGACGTTAAAAGGTGGCTGGCTGATCAATAGAAGTCAGCAATAGGTTTTATTTTTCGAAATTTTGAAAAGAGACTAGATAATATATACAAATCATTAATTTTTATGAGCTCACATATTTTATGCATATATTCAAGTACAATTTTTGAGAATTTCAATGCAATTTGACAAAATTTATCTTTTACAATGTTTTCATTATTACATCAATTGTGATCCAAATAACAACCTCTGCTGGTTATAAGCAGTTGTTCTTGAATTTGGTTATGCAGCTTGTCAAATGTAGGAAGAGCATTCTGAATTATGTTATTGTCCCGCCCACTAGATGTGCGTTCGTTAGAAGACTATAAGTATAAAGGTGAGCGAGATAGAGAGAGAGAGAAAGATAATTCTCAAGTCTCTTCCTAGATTTGATAAGCTGTAATCATTGTGATTCTAATTCACAATTAAGAGGCCTATTGAGTGGCAGTGCCATATTGAAAATCGCGAAAACACTTTGTGAAGAAATAAGATGTCATATAAAAAATATGTATGGGGGAAAGTTATCGATGATGTAACGGAGAATGTCGCTAACTCATTTTTTTCCATTTATTTCTCCAAAAATGTTTTTTTACCTTTTTATTCCTTTGACAAATTTCAAAATTTTTGATATAGCGAAATTGTACGATTAAATATAGTCAACTTCTTTACAAAATAAAATATGAAATAATGTTTGACTAATCTATAAAACGTGTTTTCCTTATTCAATGAATTTTCACACGTCAAGGGCTACCATCTAATAAAAACTGAACCCATATTAGAGCAGAGAAGGGTTTGGCAACATCGCTGTTAGCGAAACGCCCGTCGAATGCAAATAATATCAGTTTGATGTTAGGGTAATTGGTCTCTACCAGTGACGGCTCGTGCATTGGAGAACAGGGGAGGCTAAAGTCATAAAGACTATATACACACAGAAAAGCCCGCCGGAGCGAAGGCGCGAAAATTTTTTGGGGTACCGCACCTATTTGAAGCAAAATACGTAATATTTGCATAAATGCAAACAAAAATTGTGTATTGCCGAAAATTATAGGTACGTATAAAACTGACCGTTAAAAAAAACAAGGAAAAAAGGTTGTCTTTGAGTTATTTAATATAAATGGACTCTTCTCAGTCACTAAATAATACTTTTCTCTTCTAATATAACAGTTTTATTAAAAATTGCTTATAAAAACAGGTCTAAAAGTAAATTTTATTGTCCAGCAAGAACCAGCGGGGATGTGAGAGTCGTGTCTTGCCAGGAAAGGAAAGGAAGGATGGGGTAGGAAGGAAGGTTACATCTGGTTCGTTTAAGTGAATTCACAAGGCACCCGCAAACTACTTTTAATCGACGGTCATTCAAGTTCAATATAGTCTGCGAGGGTCCCGCATTATGAAAGGTGAATTGAAAGGTATATTTTGTAATTTTCGATAGGAAGGAAAAAAATAAAAAAATCAATTGAAAGAAGAGATATATTACTTACTCTATTTTGAGTCATGGAATTTCTACTAAAGGATTTAATTATTTTCAATGCTGAAAAATTTCTCTCAACTAACGCTGATGTTATGGGAATCGTCACAATTATAGATATAAGTTCATATAACTCAGGCATGTAATCTCTAAAATCATTTTCAAACATAAAATTTAATAAATCTAAAGGAGCCTTGCAATTTTTAAGCATTTGAGGGTCGCTGTACATTACGATTAATTCATTTTTCAGTTGAATAACATCGAAAAATGGATACTGAGCTATTAAGTCGTTATGAAGTTTTTGGGGAAAATCTTTGGTATAGGACGAACATTTTTCAAACAACAAATCAAAGTAGTTTAATTTAAGTAAATCTTCAAATCTAACTTTGATTTGCATTAAAAAGCTGTCGAATATTTCATTATAAATCTGTTTATAATTTTGTCTTGAATCGGGTAAGTCTAAATTGATTTTCAGCTATTCATTTTTATTCTTGTTCTTTAATTTTTTTATTTTCTTCTTTTTTAGTTCTTTCAATGATTTCAAATCATTTTATATAATGCCAGACAATGGAAGTCCGAACTAATGAAATTCAATAAAATATTTGTTTCATAGAAATGTGATTTATTTTACTTTTCGCTCATTCTACGTTATATTTTATTGTTTTCAATGAAACTCTTTGAGTATAGTCACAGTTCATTTCCACTAATCAATTATGTTTATCACATAACTTGTCGATTTGACATCTTCTATAAATTCATTCAACTCGTTTCAAGTGATTTTGAAATGTGAAAAAAGACAAAAAAATACTGTATCTAGTGTTGAATCAGAATTTGTACTTGCGTTGAGTGATTTCCAAGTTGAAAAGTAAGGAAAAATTATTGAACCTTGCTTAGAATCACCGAATGATATAAAAAATATATTTATAAAATTAACGAAAACGAAACGCCTCACTTCTCGTAAACAATCATAACATGTTTTATTTTTTGTAAATGATTACCCGAATGTGCCTTTTATAACTATATTTTTATATCATTCGCTAATTCTTGTTTGGGTTCAGTGATTTTATCATACTTTTCAACTCGGAAATCACACAACACAAGAACAAACTTCCATTCAGAACTCTAATCAGTCATTACTCTATATCTTCTGCCTCTATGAAATCACTCAAAGTAAATGGAGCGAAATGAATGTATAGAAGTCGCCAAAGTGACAAACTATGTGATGAATAGCATCCTTGATTAGTGAAAATATTTGTAGATTCGATACTTTATCATTGAAAAATAATGAAAACAATGTTTTAATGAAATTAAAAAAATCTTGTATGTAATACGATAGGATTTCATTTTTTGTAACTTGCGCTCGTTACACAAAATTAAACTTTTCGTAACTCTTTAAATAACTAAAGCTATTCTAAAAGTATGGCCAAGCATAAAATGCATCAAATATACTAATTTCAAAAACCTATTCTGATGAAAAATAGAAATTCAATCTTTTTTCACAAAGCAACATTCTTTGGAATCACAAACTCAACTGCAAACAAGAGAAACCTAAAATAAGATTGAAAATTTGCACATCATTTTCGAATTTTCAATTTTTAACGCGGCTGCCACTGCGATCTCTGGCCCCGCCACTGAGATAGAAATGAAAACATAATATCGGTTGTATTTCAACCCTTGTCTTTGAATTCATCAGCGCAGCGTTGCCAAGTGATGAACAGGCGAATGTGGGCATTCACTAAGAAATGTTGTACATTATTCTCGTCGCACTTATTTCCAGTGCTTACTTCCGCTACCCGCCAGCAGGGACGTGTGTCTTTGATTAATTTGGCTAGAGAGAGTAAAGCAAGAAGAGAGATGAAAATATCGTTGACAGATAATAATTTAGTCACGTGCTCCCATGGCCTCATTTCCACTGACAATGACACTACTTTTCTCTAGAGGTTGTTTTTCAGTGTGGAGTTTCTCAAAGAGTACAGATACTCCCATCCATATTGATCTAATCACAATCCTATTCGATTCACTTGCATTTCAGTTAACTTAAGGCGCTCTACGAGCGGTGCTTGTGCGAAAGTAGTAATCCACATTGGATTTAAATAGCTGGAGATTAAAATCATTTGGAAAAACGTTATCAGGAAGTTTATTCCACACAAACGCAGTTTTCCAAATGAGAGTTCTCAAACAGCGAATTAAAAATGCAGTCGGGAGTGGCTGGTAAAATTCTAGTACCAAACCGACTACAGATTTCTTCGTTACCGATATAAGCACGTCTTCCTGACCCAAGAGGGCAGTTCAGAAAGTGAATCGAGCGGCTAAACAAGAAATTCAAATAGTGGAAATGAATTGAGTGTTAGTTGCTGAGTGTTGTAAATAAATTAGCTTGTTATAAGTGAAATATTGTTGGAAATAAATTTGTTTAAGAAAATTAATTCATTAATTTGTTACATTATGCTTGAAAATTGAATGAAAACAGTATTTTTTAATTTGTCTAGATTTCATATTGGATTTATTTCTGAAAATCAGGTTTTTGTTTTAACAATTGCCAAATATAAATTTAGGTTGATCAACACTGATTTTTCAGGCCAATATCATTCTCCACATTCAATTCATTCATGCTACTTTTGATCTTATCTAATAAATGAATCTAACTGTAATCTACTTAACTTATTTATTTGGTACCAGTATTTATGTAAGAATATTCAATTTTTTCACATTTTTTTTAAGAATTCCAAACTGCTACTATTTATTTTTTGGAAGAACAGGTTCCTGGTTTCGAAATCGGTGTAACTTTCTTATTTTGGGAAGCCACAGCAGTTGAACCTTTCACCTGTAAAATATATTGAATTCAATCAAAAGCATATTATACAAACGTGCAAGTAAAGTGTGAAAAGAATAAACGATATGACCAAATTGATTGGAATAGAACACAAAGTAAATAATAATGATCACAATTCTTTCTATGTGTTATAGAAAAATATCGAAAAAACTTATAAATTGGTTGGATGACTGAAAATATATACAAATTTTAGCAAACACATTTGTTTCAAATGCAACAATTATGTTTAAAAAAAAATCTGTTTTTCTGTTAACCGGCTGTCGTACCCCTACGAACGACAACTCTCAGAAGTCGAAACTTGTGCGAGCTAAGAATTAACGAAGTCTTACCTTTTAACATGTGATTCCTAACACGGGTTGGACGATAGCAAGTGAAAATCGATAGTTCAGACTGGGGCTTGAACCACCAACCAACACGGCCGTCAATTCGAGTAAGTGAACAAAGCACCCACGTCGAACCGCCTGGCTACCGACCGATAAAAACAATTACTTTAAGGGGTGAAAGCTGGGAACATTTCCTACTGTTTTCAAAACTATTTATGCAGCACGGATGTTATGGCACGAAGGTCTTCTGCACAAACTAATCGCGTTCGACCTGCCTCGTGGCCTGATCCGGTGGATTGGGTCTTTCCTGGAAGGCAGAATATTTTAGGTTAGAGTAGAGGGCTCTCTGTCTGACAACAGAGAGATCCTCGCTGGAGTGCCACAGGGGGCAGTGCTCTCTCCGACGCTGTACTCACTTTACACCAGTGACCTTCCTAGGCCCGAGCGTGTGAAGATATCCCTTTTACGCCAATGACACGGCTCTGCTTTCGTCTTCCATGGGGCGTGAGCTCGGCGTCGTCTACATGCAACGTGCATTGGACGACCTCGAGCGCTGGTACCTCGATTGGAAGATCCGAGTGAATCCGAACAAGACTCAGGCGATAACCACGGGAAGATTGCTATATTCTCCGGCCAGAAAAATGAGAATCTCTGGAAGGGAGATTGAATGGCAAGCGCGGGTAAAGTTCCTCGGCCTTCTAATAGACCGTAGGTTCCCTTGGAACCCACACATTATGTGCGTTGAATCAAAGATCGAGGGTTGGATAGCTACTCTGTACCCTCTGATCCAGAAAATCAAAAATGAGCCTAAAGAACAAAATTACCATCTACAATACGATGTTCAAGCCTGTCATCATGTATGCTTCAGGCGTCTGGGGACAAGTGGCTACGTATAATATCTCCATTCTGGAGAGATTGCAAAACAAGTTGATAAGGATGATTGTGAATGCTCCTTGGTTCGTGCGGAATGAAGCCATCCGCAGAGATTTGCAGCTGCCTTCCATTCAGCAGTCCATTCAGTCGAGGAATCGGCGAGTTTTTGATAGCGCGGAAACTCACAAAAATCCGTTAGTTAGGGAAGTTATAGATTATGCTGTAGACGACCCCCCCCCCGATATAAAAGGCTCCGACACTCTGTCGAATGAGACCCTCATGTTAACGGACGAATCGATTTTTCATCCATATCCCACCCCAGCTAGGTAGGGGTACCCCGTGAAGGGCGATACTGATGTCTGAGGACTTCATGTCGCCAACATCCCCTCAGTCATGAACCCATTTGTCCTTCTTCGACAAAAATCAGCTAAAAGGGTAAGGGAGCTGGGCTCCAACCTGAACGAAACGAAAACGCTTGGTCGAGTACGGATGTTATTGCTGAAGTTTCGCTGGACCCCTTCTCCATGTAAAATATTTTGTCAAAAACTCTCAACCTACGGCACTTTTGATAAAGAAATGATAGAGATCTAATAAAGTCTAGCTTTTCATTCACAGCCGATCTCAGGATTTGGGAGTTGTGTATCGACTGATTGAAAAATGACCATAAGTGGTGAGTGACGAGTCACAGGTGACAGCAATAGGTATACGAAAATCAATAATATCGTTGAAGACGAGTACAAATTGTGGAAATTGAGTTTTACGCACCAACGAAATCGCAGGCACAAGCTGAAGCGCCGCAATGCAACGTTTAACATTCAACAACCAAAAAACATTTTGTAAATTACACTGTCAAAGAAATGATCGAATGCCGGCTCGTCCGGTAGAGAAGAAAAAGCGCCAGACAGTGGTACCCAGGAACAGACGACGGGAGGTGCTCAAAGAAATCCATGATGAAGTCACTGGAGGACATCTGGGAGTAACGAAGACCCTCCAGAAAGTAAGACAACGGTTTTACTGGGTTAATTGTCAAGCCGACGTCAAGGACTGGTGCAGAAAATGTGCTGTATGTGCTGCCAGTAATGGACCACGGATACGACCGAAAGCTCCAATGCGCCAGAGTCCGACCATGGGAACAAATACATCCTAGTAGCCATGGACTACTTCAGTAAGTGGGCGGAAGCCTATGCCCTGCCCAACCAGGAAGCATTTACATTCGCTGACGTCCTGGTAAAGGAATGGATATGTCGATTCGGTGTCCCATTGGAGCTGTATTCGGACCAGGGCAGAAATTTCGAGTTCAACCTGTTCCAAGAAATATGTAAACTGTTAGACATTCGAAAGACCAGAACCACAGTCTTACATCCACAGTCCGATGGAATGGTGGAACGAATGAATAAGACCATAAACGGTCCCTTGTCCAAGGTAGTCTCTGACCATCAAAGAGATTGGGACCAATACTCTCCACCTGTTCCTGCTGGCTTATCGTTCAGCAGTGCACGAGTCAACCGGCCAAACCCCTGCCAATATTATACTGGGCCGAGAGCTGCGGCTTCCTTGTGACCTGAAATTTGGGACGCCACCAGAACAAAACACTGCAGGGGAAGACTATGTCAGCAAGCTTTGACAGAGAATGGACGACATTCATGAACGAGTCCGTCTGAACATCCGGAGTGCCAGCAATAGGATGAAGAAGGCCTATGGCATTAAGGCGAATTTTGGAGGATTCGATATCGGTGACCTAGTTTGGCTGTACAATCCTAAGCGACGTCGTAGTTCATCACCGGAGTAGCGGAACTTGTGGGAGGGTCCATACAAAATCATGAAAAAGATTAATGACCTCGTCTACCGAATCCATAAGCCACCTCGAGGAAAGCCTAGGGTCGTCCATTTTAATAGACTGGCTCCTTATGCAGGAAATCACGACTAAGTTCGCGTCCTCCGACCACCAGAGGATGAAATGACGTTACAGCAATTAATGTCCTTATACTCGAACGGACAGAAGGTCGTACATGGGGTAACTCGAGAAGAGCCACGAGACCTTTTCAAGGTTCCAGTTGATTACGCACTAGCTCACTGCGTGACAGAGGATCCCCAAATGTCCAAGGGTATCGCTGTGGTATTCAACAAGAAATTCGGTCAGCTCCAAACATTACGAGAACAGAATCCTGAAGTCGGAGGAGTACTACAGTTAAAAAAAGGTCAGAGAAACGTTTTCTACTTGGTGACCAAAAAGCATTCTCGAGACAAACCGTCTTATGAAGACGTCTGGAGGAGTCTTACTAGACTGAAGGACACGATGCTCGACCAGAATTTCGTGGACTTGGCAATCCCGAAATTAGCCTCTGGGCTCGACAGAATTGTGAGAAGCATGTTGGAAACGATCTTCAGATCAAGCGGCATCAAGATTTTGGTGTGCTGTAACCATCTTCCTCGACCGAGCATGAAGACTGTGGAGTGTTACTTCCATCGAACTTCACCGTGCAGATATGGGGAGTCCTGCAGGTATCTATACACGCCAAGGATGACATTTCGGGGCGAAACGTCTTTAAGAAGGGGGCAATGTAACGTATCTGAAGCCGGCCCTGACCGATATCTCAGCCAGCAAATACATGACTCATCGCGAACCGTCGCGAAAAGAATAGGCGAGTACAGTGACTTCTAGATGAATCTAAAACGATCGTTACCGGTATATAATCCCTGCTTCCCGTCCATAGAGGAAGTCTGTATTCAGAAAGCGAATCGAACGGTTAACAAAGAAATCGAACAGTGAAGATAAATTAAGTTGCTAAGTTGTATAAAAATAAGTTGTGATAGTGAACTATTGTTAAAAATTAATTTGTTTAAGACAGTTAATTCTTTAATTCGTTACAACACGGTATGTAAAAATAGCAATTTCAACATTACCATTGTCGACAGCTGGCTTTCTTCTTTCAATTCTTGCTTTTGCGGATTTCCTGGGTTTCAACAATTTTGTTGACTATGTTCGGCGATGGTTTTTGTTTGTGTGAATATTGGGCGGCAAATGCAACATAAAGAGAAAGCAAAAATTCGCTTTGAGCGGAATATTTCCAGCGAACCATCGGATTATAAAATAGGCGATAGAGTATACATATGTAAAAGAATTGCAATCGATAAGCTGCAAAATAAATTCAATGGCCCATTCGCAATCGAACAGCTGTTTCAAAACTCTGCCATACTTTGAACTTGCAAGCTAATCAAAGCACAGAAGTGAACTTTGATAGAATGTAACCTTACATTGAGAATTAAATTTATTTTTATGTTACTCAGATGAGAACGGTAATATTGTTCTCTCGAACGATAAATGCTAGTCACCAAAAATACATCTCAATAAAGATAAGCGTTTGATAACAATGTTAAAATGATCGGATCATTAACTGATACGACCTTATTCAAAAAACAGAATTTAATGTGCGCTTTCCACTTGAAAGTTAACAAAACCGCGACACGTGTTTCGCTATACAATAGAATCTTCGGGCGCCACACAAGTATTGTGACGCCACAATATGTTTTTCAAAGCAATATTCATCAAGGGGCAGTTTTTTTTTACATTATTTTTAGCCAAATACAGGTATCTATCTTTCCCTCGAAAAGTGTATCTGCTATATTTGTCGGCAAGATAAACGACGTCAATACTATATTGAAAAATAGAATAACTACTTTCTCAAGTTACATTAAAACAAATTAATTTTGAATTATCATAGTTCTGAATGTAAATAGTAAAAGCATCAGTTTTTCCAATACTCAAACTACTCGTAATCACACATGAAATATCTGGATTGAAAAATAAATTTCTGGTTTGTTTGAAGGTGATTGACAATGCTTCATGATGAATTTCACTAGTTCGGACTTCCATATATAAAATGATATCAAATCTTTTTATATATTAGACAATGGAAGTCAGAACTATTGAAATTCATAAATTTCTGGATTCTTTCTCGTCCCCGAATATTAAAATCCTCCTCTGGTCATAGTGAGACGGGTCCATCGCCTTGGTAAATTTTTTCTTGTAGATTCGAGATTTGAAAAACGAGCATAGAGTCGGATATCTGGAAAGGTTTTGCTCACAAACTATTTCTGGAAAATGAGGTTTCAGAAAATCAGTAGAGACTGAAACATTTTGCACAAAAAAAATCAGTACAAAAATATGTTAATAACGCGCTTAATATGAAGAAGGAGCTGGAATTTGTACGGCAATAAAATAGGGAAATACATAAAACGCCGATATTAGACAAGTTTCATTTGGCGAGATGTTTTTGTCTCAAGAATTCTTTGACTTGAGACCTTAGTGCTGATATATTATCGGCTGATATATTTCTAGCTGGGAAATTATGAGAAAGTATCCTTTGGCCTATTTACTAATATAAAATCGAGAATACTCACTACTGGTTTCGGCGTAGAGTTTTTCAAACTGGTGGTTTTTGGGATTGCTGAATTACTGACATTCTTGGTTACACTTTGTGGATTTCTTTCTATAGATACATTTTTCGCATTTACAATGGAACTTGTCACTTTTGTAGTGAGAACTTTCAGCTGAGAATTTGTGTATTTGCTGCTGTTACTGGCACCAGGGTTGGCCTGAAACATATAAACAAAATCCTACCATTCGTTTCATGGATCAATGAAGATCATATCTACCGACAAATTTGAAGTTGATTTTGAATTAGGTATGGATAACCGTGACTGCTGACCTTTAGATGTGGTAAGAACCTAGAAGATAAAGATATTTAGAAGATTTCAATTGAGTGTTCCAAAATGTGAACTACCCAACGTTAACTATCAAATTGAAGAAGGAATATTTTCAGGAGTTATTAATTTTTTGGGAAAAAACTTTCTACTTCTTCATCGAACAAAAAATTCAGAAACTTTCAAAGGAAAAAAGAAAAATTCTAGTTCAACAAAAAATCCTAATAAAGATATGTGGATCAAGCACATTTTATTTTTCAAATTAAAGGGATTAAAGGGTACGACAGGAGTGAAGGTAATCGCATTGCCGACTCTTTAGCCAAGGAAGCGGCTGGACTAAGAATTTTAGGACCCAGTGGCACCTCGGCCGATGGCTTCGACAATTGCGGAACTAGCCAAACGTTACATCCATGCTCAATCCCTAAAGAGGTGTGAGGAAATCACCCTGGGCGACAGGGTGATCCTGGAAGTAGAATCCCTGACTGGCCACTGTCAACTAAGGAAACACCTCCATAATATGGGGCTAGTGGACACACCTCTATGCGGAATGTGTGAACAGGAAAATGAGACTGTCAGGCATGTCCTATGCGAGTGTCCGGAGTTATTGTCAATAAGAGAGTGTGTGTTCGGCGAGTCTTGGCCTACACCTGCCGATATAAAGGGGATGTCTTCCAGTGACCTGTCCACCTTCCTGGAAAGGACAGGATGGACGATGAACTTGAAGGACAACTTTTCGGGAGGATGTACAATGGGTCACATGTGGCCAAGTGCTATGGGCCTACACTCACCCACCCTACTCTACAAGTACAGAGTACAGAACAAGTATTAGGTTTAAAATTCTTAATGAAGCTATTGGAAAAACGTCATTGCAAAACGTCTGGACCTACAAAAGACAAATTTTTGTCAATTATAATAATAAAATTTGTATTTGAAGGTCTTGTGAAGATTTTGATAAATTATTTGGTGCATAAGATTAAATGAAACTAAATGATACACTCCCTCTGATATCTTTAAAATAATCGAATTATTATTCAATAATTAGTGGTCTAAATTTCTTAATAACAAATAATAAGGTGATTACACCCTTAGGTGGAACTTAGGAGGTTTCGAAAAATGTTATTTCCATAAGTCCACCGAGAAACTATTTGATATTACGAATAACTGAACTATTCATATGTCATAAGGTTAATAAAGTGAACTTAACCTTACCATTATTCTATTAATAATCTCATCTTTCCAATTGTATACATTAGATATTATCAAATAATTACCTTCCTTTGACGGATCAGTAGTAAATTCCTTGGAATACTCACATTCAAATTGATGGCAGATTTTGTTTTGGCACCGAGTTTCGTTTTGGGAATCATGCTAATTTTTTTTTCGCTTCCAGCATTTCGAACCTAGAACATATAATTGTCAAAATTGAAAAATTACCTTCTAAAATATGTTTTTTATTTTATTTACGAAACAAATAGAATTGATGAATGTGTTGAGGATTCAGAAGCCATTTCATTTTTATCTTACAACCCCACCTTTCACACAATAAAGATATTCTCTGGAAATGAATAGTTCTGGCACACTTTTTCACCGCTTGCTTGAGAAAAATATATCGTTTTCTTTGGCAAGCGTAATTAATTTGTTATAAATTTTCCAACGATTTTCAATAAAAAACTAAAGATGGTTTGATTCTTCTTCCCTCGTAAGACAGCCCATGAAATATTATAGCGACTGGAGATGTGACCTCTTTCAAACTGGAGGAGACTAAACTTTCTTCAATAAACAAGAAAAGAAGGAAGAACCTGGAGACAAAAAAGGTTGTTTCGCGTTTCGGGATACAATAGCTTCTTCAGCTACACACGAATATACACACGCCTCCATCTAAAACATATTTTATCAATTTGGTTTGTATGTAAGGCATTGCTCCACATAATTTCTACTCATCTAGGAAAACCATAATTCGGTGACTTTCCTCTTTATTCATTAATATTGACAAAGACTCTGGAGTTGATTTTTCACATAGATACTTACGTTTTTAATTGGAAGAGGAGATGGTTTCGAAGACTTTGGTTCCGGATTGGAAATTTGGGTTGTAGACTCGGACTGCAAAGTTTAATCACGTGTATCATATTTTTTAGGTTGCATTTCCAGATAAATACCTGAACAGAAACTTCGCTGCAAACCGTAGACATCTTGAAAGATTCCTTTTTATATTCAGTTTTGGTCTCCAAGCTGCTTTTTTCCACATTCATAGATGAATCTCTGGAAATAATAAAATCATTTTGTTGGTTTTGAGTTTTCATAGGCTATAAAATATTAATTCTTTAATTTTCCTGTTCAACATAGGGAAAGATATTGTTGTAAATCATGCCCTAAAGAAAATAACGCCGGCCGCCGCTGGTATCCATAAATTAAATGTGACGTGGTCAAGACCGCACGCAGCTTTGATTATTCTAGTCTTTGCACCGACTTCGATGGAATCCCGGCGAATATTCCACCGGCTTCGATGGATTTCTGAGGAATTCTCCACCGGTTTCGGGAAAGTTCGTTTACCGCATATAAACGCTATCCACGAGCATGTAGAGACAGTCAAGTTTCGCAGACAGTGCCGTGCAAGGCGATCTCATAAGGTGATGGACATTTGAATAATAGTTGAAGGTTGAATATCGCAAATGAGAGGAAGATGAATACAGAAGAGAGAAAGAACGATCGTGAATTACTACTAGGTATTCAGGAAAAATAGGAAAAAGACAGACTTGCTGGTAAATATTCAGGAAAAACTGCATGTGGCAGCGTACCGACACCACTGCTTTGGAATGAATCATTGGAAAGGTTGGATAATCAAAGGCGACTGGGGGAGTATGAATCAAGCACCGAGCGAGTGCAGATCTCGGGGATTAAGTTGGGATTTTGATTGTTAGTCTTGGGAAGTGAATAAAGTGTTAAGTGAAGTGTTGCCTTATCATTACACACCGTGGGTCAGCACACTGCAGAAGCAGAAAAAAAGACAATCAGATAAACCTGAAAAAGTATTTCAGGAATAAAAGGAAGGATTGGAAAAAGCAGTCCATAAGAAGCTTGGGGGGTTGAAAGGAAATTTGAAAAGGAGCTTGAAGGAGTCGGAAGGAAATTTGAAAAAGTGCCTGAGAAAAAGTTTGAAAGAATTGACAAAAAGTTTGAAGAGGTTTTCCGGAAACTTCGGAAAGAATTACCGGACTGGAAAAGGATTACTGTGGAGAAATGCAAATCGGAAACGTTATCCCTCTTTTCTAGCAGAAGTTTTATTAAAACAACTTTCGATGGCGAATAATCATGGTCAATTCATCGCAGACAATTTTAGACCGCTGCGGAAAATAACAGGTGGAGAAATGAGGAGAAAGCAACAGCTTTCATACTGGCACTACGAGGAAAGGTCTTCGAAATCCTGCAAAATATTTCAGAGAAAATCAAAGCAGTGCAAGAATGGCTAACACCGAAGAGGAAGCAAGACGTATGAAGCTTCTTTGGACTCTGTAGCCAATACCGGCGTTTCGTGAAGGACTTTGGGAAAACTGCCAGACCGTTTCATAGCTTGACTGTTTTAAGTTCAATCTCCAGAAAATCAATGAGTTTATTCCGAAATGCCTATTTTATTTTGATGTTTTGTGATTTGATATTATTGAATAATAAGTTCTTGTTACAATACTGTATAATTTTGAGTGATTTTCGGTGTTAACAAAAAATAAAAATAACTTTACACCAAAAATTAACTTACTTTTCAAAACAATTGACCGTGGTTAACACCATAGTTGTGTAATTTGTAATATCATAGGCCTTAAAATGAACAGGATGCTGTCTATTTATCGTTTAAGTAATTTTTTTCTTTCGCAGTCGCCATTTAAAATATTACAATAATTGTTTCAGTGGAGAAAACTCCTTTCCCAAAAATTGGCAGTATTATACAACTTGTAAATTGTGATTTGTATACACTCTGTTCTCTACTCAGTAGGTTGCGTTTTCTGATAATATTTATATTTTGATTACAATGATAGTACGTATTCAGTTAGTATGAAAGAACATTTTCAGTAAAAAATATTTTTGGATATTGGATTTTATTATGAAAATGATCTAAAGGTTAAATTTTCGTACTAATATTAAACCTAATTGATGGCATACAAAACACGACATCAATAGCATACATCAGTTTATAGTACCTACCAATGAAAGCTGCGTTACTGTTTTCATAAATATATTCATATGGATAGGGAATTAAATCAATAAAATGAAAAATATTATATGAAAAGCATAAATCGGTTTGTGGTACCAACGAAATATGCGTTACTATTTTCAGCAATATAATCATAAATGAGTTTATAATATGAATGTAAGCTAAGTTACAATTTTCATGAACGTATTAATTTGGAAAAAGAGTTCTCTTCGTGAAATTGATAAATACGTTCAGTTCAATGCATAATTATAATTCATGTTGCTCATGTATGAGACAGTTCAATTAATAAAGTAGTTTTTTGGATTTTTATTAACGCTTTCGTGATATTCATGAACAAGAGTATACTGTAACCATAAAAATGTTCAAAGAATTAATTTATGCTTCCAATGACCGTTTTGATGTACATAACGGTACCTTTTTGGTTGAGTGAGTGTTTTTTGAATACGCTAGTTATGGATTTTCATCAGGTATCGTTCAATTCCATTATATATTTCATAATGGTATGTGTGCTATAATGACTGACGTTGGGCTTTTGCATTGAAAGCAATTTGGCATTGTGAAACTTCGTGCTTTGATCGGCCTGAAGATTATTTTTGACTTCTTTTGATGTTTACAAAATGCCTCAAAAGGTCTTCGTTATGTCATCGCCTGTCTCCGATATCCACTTGAATTTCGAGGAAATAAATTAATCACAATCATAATCACAGTGCGACAAATATTTTGAGATTAGCTGCATATCAGCTAAGTCCGTTTGATACGTTTCGACGACGGTAACTAAAAGCACTCCGTGGCTCGCCTTCCAATAATGGCAACAGCTAATGACGTCTCGCTCTGAAGTTCACCAAACATGGTAATTCACACACACCATTCAGCCCACATAAACCCATATCCGAAACTAAAACCACTTAAAAATACCACCATAGCACCAATTTTTTCGTAATGTCTAGCGAGATACAGCGTTAGCGAAGAGGTAATGCACCGGCCTCTTATCAAGACGTTCGCGGTTTTAGTCCAAGCAATGGAAACTTTTTCCACAAATTGGAGTCGAAAGACCATGGAATCGATGTGGGTAGTAGGTTAGCCAGCATGAATGGGATTTTTCAGGTCAGCCAGAAATCTTGTCGGGTTTTCACTAAAACTTAACCTTAAAACTTCTAGGTCATCACATGCGACCTAGGCTCCCCAGTTACATAGGTTTTCTGGACCAAAATTGGTGGCCCAGAAACCCCATAGATATACTACTTACGAAACAAAATAGCACTAATTTCTATTTTGGCGATAAATTGAATTTCCTCTTCATACCAATTCACTAACTCACCTAGAAATTTCTGATTGCGCAAATGTCGAGCTTCTGTACTCACGAGTGCTCTCAGACACACTCGAAACCAGTTTAGTGGTGCTGGATGTGTTTTCCATCTTATTCATAATGTTGACGTTTTGTGTTTGTTTCGTATCCACATTTGAGCCACTTAGTTTTGTATAATTTTCTTTTATCATTGATACTAGTTCCATAATGACCGTTTTGCACAACAATTTGAGGTCATCTGATACAAACGGCAGGCAGTACTTGGATGCATTTTCGTCCACTAACCATCGCTAAAAATAATAAACGAAAACTAGTATTGTATTGATTTGATCAGTTTATTTCAATTTGTAGTAAGTGGAAAACGATTCTTATAAAAACAATCCTTTTTTTGATACTCAAATTTGAAGTTCTCTTTCAGAATGGACCTTTGAAAGGGTGACTGATACTGGGTTCAGTAACCACCCACATTTTATTAAGGTGCGTATACATCTGAACTTGAACGTGGCATACGGAAACAATGGGAGCGTTTGATGTACGTTCGGCGAACGGCCGAACGCTATCTGTAACGCTAGTTGCACACACACCGATTTTGGACGGCCCACTTCGTACCGGTCGTCCAAATTCCAACAGTGAACCACATGTGGGAACGGGACCTGGCACACACGCCGACCGGTGATCGTCGCCGGTAAAATACCGGTGAGCAGCCGTCCACTGCCACTGTATCGCCGGCAGTACCGGAAAGTAGTGGCGTACATGACTAAATACACTCTTGCATACTCACCGGTTTTTTACCGACCATTCCAGTCTCGAATGCTCGGTGAAATTGTAGTTACTACGCATTAACTTCGTTTTGGTAGTGCGTGCTAATTACGACAACAAAGCAACTGATTGTTTGACCGATAAAAATTCGGTGAGTGTGCAAGCACCCGCTACCAATAAAATATCGGCCGATTTTATACTGGCCGGCCAAAATCGGTGTGTGTGCAACTAGCGTAAGCTGTCGGTACTTAACGAGAATTCGCATAGGACACGTCTAAATGTAGATGTGCATGATTCATTTTCGTTCGTGGGCTTGCGAGGTAATATACTGCCTTGCATACTTCTAATAGGATTCTTAAAATTGGCTGCTTTGATGCTTTAAAAACGTATTGCAAACTAGTGTATGAATCGCCACTTGCCAAAAAAATTCAACGCAAATGCCACCGTTTCCTTAGTTGTGATCCTCGTCAGAATGTTGGATCGCTTCTTGAAATTTTCTCTCGAATACTTCCAAAGACATTCAAATCTTTTTCATTATCAATTAGACTTTGAATAAATTATGCGTGAGGAGCATATCCTTGCCAATGCTAATTGCTTATAAGTTGATTGGTCTTGGTTTCCTAAATAAAGTATTGAGATGGCTGAGCTCCTATATGGAGTGGCGCTGTATGTCAGTCAAATATGAAGGCACCTTGTCAGATGAATATGCCGCGTTGAACTGGCATTATTTCAATGATGCTTTGTCTGAATATGTGAGAGACTGCCATATACCTAACGAAATTTGCAGATGAGACCACTGTTACACCCACTGGACACACTATGGATGACGTGGTAGCCAAATTAGTGGCATTATTGATGAGCTCTCTCCTTGATGTGAACGCAATCGCCTAGTCTTGTACACATCAAAATCAGTGACAATGACATTTTATACCAGGAAAAATAATATTTAAGATATAATGTTCTCTATCGATGAAATAGATATTTCACATGAAGTAAAATTTGTGGAACAATTGTGGATGAATACTTGAATTGGAACTTTCATATTATTGATGTTTACAAGAAACTCAATAAAGCAATTTTTGTAATATAACAAATGGAAAACTGTGTAGATTAGAAAAGTCTGATGGGCATCTATTAGGCAATGGCTACAGGGTGTTCATAGGGCAAGAACGTATTCTGAGACTAATTTTTAACATGGAATATCGTAAAAGTTTTGAACCAGTATTCATAAGAATGAAATTGTTGTCTACCCCAGCACTGTATATTTCACAACACAACAAAAAAATATTTTTTGAATGTTTCCTACACTAAATTAGTCAATTTCTACTAATTTTGGGGTGATAAAAACGAAAATAACAATGAAAAATTTTTATTAGCTCTGGTTTTTGAGATACACAGTACTTAATCTTAAAGAGTAGTTATACTATACGTGAAAAGTGAAAGTACATAAAACAATATTGTTATGTTTCTTTTAGAATATTTTAAGTACAAAATTAATAAAAAAAA